TGCTAAGACCGTGACGATCCTTGCCATTTCAGCTTCGTTCAGCCTCGTATTTCCTGCAGGGCCCAGCCCGGGGAGGCAACAGACTATCTGGGAAAAGGTTGGGTACCAGCTCCTCTGCTTACTTGCGCTCCTCTGCTTACTTGCTGTGTGTCCTTGGGGGCTTCGCTGCCACTCTCTGAGCCCGTCAGAAGAAAAATTGCCATGTGTAGGGTGCTGACCATGTGCCAAGCACTATGCCGAGCACTTCTATGATCTCGTTTGGTTCTGACATCAGCCTCAAGAGGCAGGTACTGTTATCCCTTTTTACAGATTCAGAAACAGGCTCAGAGAGGTTATGTAACTTGCTCAAGGTCACTGAGCTAGTTGGTGGCTAAGTCAGGATTTGAATCCAGGTGGCCTGACTCCCAGAGCTCAAGTGCTTTGCATGCCTCCTGCTACCCCCCTCTTGTTGGAAGAACTGGGGCCACGGAAACCAACCGAGGTGCACGTAAAATATGGCAGGTCCATTCCTGGAAGGTTCTGGAATATGGTTACAGCCACCTTGTGAGCAGGGTAATCTGATGCTCCATCACAGCCATGTTACCCTGGCCCGAGCATCTAGCCCACAGGGCAGTTTCCACAGGGACTGAAGGCCCAGCTCAGGGCCCTTTCCCAGGAGGGGCCCCACAGGGCAAAGGAGACTCCCAGCTTCCAGGCCTCCTGGGGGTTGTGAGGGTCAGATTGTCTAGGAGGGGTGGAGGAGACGTCAGGGAGGAGGTGAGGGGAGAAGATTCTCGGAGGATTCCAGGTTCTGGCAAGCCCTGCTTCTCAGCAAAGGCCACCATGGTCACCCAAAGGCTACTGCCTCAGGACAGAGTCTGGGGTAGGATTCTCCGCTCCCCACCCTGGGACACACCTGGGACACACCTGGGACATGGGGCAGGCTGGCCCCAAGCCCGGACAGGGTGGTTTCAGCTCATTCCTCCAGAAATGGCCACCCAACTGACAGTCCAAGCCTAATCCCCGACCCTTTGCTCTCTGCCACCCTACCCCCAGATGGGCCTCTCAGCCCCAAAGTAGCTGAGGTGGGGGAAATGCCTGTGGCTGCCCCTCCCCCAATCCAGGACCCAGCCCCCCTCTGCCTGGGAGTGCGTTCAGTTCCCTCTGGGCAGGAAACTTGTCCCAGTCTGGGAGGAAATGGCTCAGTTAGTTGGGCACCCAGCCAGCCCTTGCCAGACCCAGAATGGGCACCAGGTTCCAACTCGGGCCTGATGTTTTTGCTGGAAGGTTCTCTGGCCTCTTGGCCCCTAGCACAGCCTGGGACCCGGTGGGGACAGGGCTGGGAGGGGATTGGATTTGGCAGTCCTTTCCTTTTTATGGACACAGGGACCATTTCCAAACAAAAAAAATGGGCCACGTGAGTTGGACTAGGATTCTTTTCTTATCTATTAAATGATTTTTATGAAAAAGTCTGACAAGGGTATAAAAATTAGATCACTCTAAGTGAGGCGTTTAGCAAATCTCCATCCCAAACAAAGGGAAAGAGGCCTGAAGTCCAAAGAGCAGAGGAAATCCAGAAGGTGTGGTCTGGAATGGGGTATGAAGCTGGGACTTCTCTCAGAGACCGTGAGAGTTCGAATCCTGCGCTCTGACCAAGCATCCTTCCGAAGAGGAGGGAGACCGGGGCCCCCAGTCTCTGCTAGAAGGGGGTAGTAGCCTCCCGGGCAGCTTGGATTGGGGTGAACCGGCCTCCCCCCTCCTGAACTCCCACTTCGCCCCTTCTGAGCTATGGCATTGTCCCTTTGGGCATCCTGCATGCCTTACTTACCCTAGTCACTCATTCGCAAGTAATTATTGAACATCTGCATGGGGCCAGGCTCTGGCCTGTAGTAACTGTGCCGCAAGGAAAAGTACAGCTGGGTAAGTCACTCTGTCGGCAGGAGACTGGGACAAGCTAAGGTGAGTGTATTTGTGATCCACAGCTGTGTTACAAACGGCCCCAAAAGTTAGCAGCTTAAAACAATAGACACTTACTGTCTCGCGCTTTTTTGTGGGTTGGGTCCCACAGGCTGGCTGGGGCCTCTGGCTCAGGGTCTCCTCACAGACCGCAGTCAAGATGTGGGCCAAGGCTCCGGTGACATCGTGAGGCTTGACCGGGGCGGGGGTCCACTTCCAAGCTCACTCACGTGGCTGTTGACAGGATTCAGTTTCTTACAGGCTACCGGGCTGGGAGTCTCAGCTCCTCTCTGGCTGTTGGCCAGGGGTCTCCCTTTGTTCCTCGCCATGTGGGCCTCCCCATAGACAGCTCCCAACAGGGGAGCTGGTGTCCCTCAGAGCAAGCCAGTAAGGGACAGAGAGAGAGAGAAAAGACATGCAGGACAGAAGTCACAGTCTTTTTGTAGCCCAGTGTTTTGGGTTTTTAAAATTTTTTTTTAAATTTATTTATTTAAATTTATTTA